GCGTGCAGGCCATCAGTCACCACTGCATGTGCAGGAAGTGGATTGGGAGGCTTGGAGAGACGGGAACAGAGAGGGAGACTTGGAAGCTCCAGGGTGCTTGGCTGGGAAGGGCGGCTTGTATGGAGAAACCTTAGGAGAAACTCAGCTCTGCACCAGTGTCGATTTGCCTTGAATAGTTGGAAAAAAACATTGTTTTCTGTTTCGTTTTTGTTTTTCTTTTTTTAAGACAAGGTCTCATATAGCTGTAATAGTGGCCTCAGACTCACTGTGTTGTCAAAAATGACCTTGAACTCCTGATCCTCCCCCTCCCCCCCAGATCTAGAACGTTAGGATTACAGGTGTGTGCAAGCGTTCCTAGTTTATACAGCACTAAGGAGTGTACCCGGGGATGCAGGCCTGCTGGGCCCTCTCCCCGCTGAGCCGCACCCCCAGCTCAGTCCATGCCTTGTCTTTCTGTTAAAACAAGCGATGGGTAGGTATGCTGCAGAGTGGTCAGGCTGCTGAGCCAAGAGCAGAGAAGAAGCCTGCAGAGATTAGGGTTGGGCCGAATCCCAGGGCTCCGTGACAGGCAGGCACTGCTCTCTTCCCTTGCTGTCGCAGACAGTCTTCAAAACGGCCTTGTGGTTTATCTGACTGGATTTTCCGTCTTTTGGTAGACGGGTAAACTGAGGCTTATCAAAGTTTCCGTACGAGGCTGGGAAGGGCAGGGGAGGACTGAATCTGGGAGTCACACTGGATGTCTGTGCAGTCAGATCTTTTCCCCTAGTAGAGGGGTGTGTGTATGTGTGTCCGTCTGTCTGTTTTTGCACTCTGTCACATTTATTGATGTCTTTCCTCCTGGGATTGAAGCTAAGGATTCATTCACACGTGCTAGGCAGTGCCCTGCCACTCAGCCATTACCTCCACCCTAGGTCTTTTTCACAACAGCACACTGGGTACTATAGCTTTATAATAGATCTTGAACTATTAACTTAAATCTTGTAATTTAGCCCTTCTTAAAATTACTCTGGGGGCTGGAGAAATGGCTCAGTGGTTAAGAGCATGCGCTCCCTTTTTAGGGGATCCAAGTTTGGTTCCCAGCACCCACAGCTCATAACTGGCTGTAACTCCGACCCCAGGGGACCCAGTGATCCTTTAGACTCTGTATGTGTCTGCACTCATGTGTGTGCATTCCCCTACACAGACATACACATAGACACGTAATTAAAATAGAATAAATCTTTAAAAAATGTCTCCTGCTGAGCTGGGTCATTGTACTTTCATAAATTTTAGAATTATCTTGTCAATCTATAAAAACAAGACTTGGCTGGGATTTTTCACTTTTATTTTTGTTTGGTCCTGGAGATTGAGCCCTGGTCCATTGGTACCCTGAGCTGTGCTCTGCCGCTGAGCTATGCTCCCAGCTCCCTGCTGGGATTTTGATTAGGATATTGTGTTGGCTAGTGTGAGAATTTTCCAGAAAAGAATTAGAGCGGATTCTATCTCATTTATACAGGCGTTAGAAGAAATTCTACCACAGTGTTTGACCTCAGGCCAGGTCTTGCTAATGAGAGTTTCAGTGTAAGGTAGATAAGGAGGATGGATGGAAGGGCCAGGAATTGGTGGCGAATAGTAGCTGATCCTTAGCCGTAGTGGTGGATAACAGGGTTTATTGAGGTCTGGGACAAACCAAACAATCCAGATCCTGGGTGAGGAGCAGGCAGTGTTGCCATGCAAGGCTATGGTTTAGGGCTAGTGAAATGCCCGTGCAGTAAAGGTGCTTGCTGGCAGCCCTGCTGACGTGAATCCACCAGGCTCCAGGACCCACACGGGGGAAGGAGAGGATCAACTCTTAGCCATTGCTTTCTGACTTGTGCCCACACGAATGCACAACTATGCATTCAAAACGCACGAGCCTGCGCGCGCACACACACACACACACACACACATACACACACACACACAAATCTAGTGTTGTTTGTTCTTGCAGTCTTCCAAGTTCTAAAACTGAAATAGAAAATACTGAACAAGTCAGAACTCCCTGTAGGCTGCCAGTCTGTGACCTCTGCCTTAGTCTGCTCTGCTTGAGTCCTTATTCCCATCATCTGGAAGCACGGAGGTGTTGAATTCAGTCTCAAGTTTCTTTCTAGTTTAATGATTCAAAATTTCAAAAGAAGAAAGTGTCAAAATAAAGGAAAGTCTTTAGACGTAGCTGAGACCATCTACGGAAATAGTAGCCAGGTCTCTATAGTTCACATAACACCATTGTATTTTTTATATTTATCCTTATATCCTTTGTGAAGGGCACGGGATGACTCGGCTAACCACATGAGAGCTCACTCTGGTGTCACACAGTCTTTGAAGGCTCTGGAGACAGGCTCTCCAGAGGGCGGGCAGTCGTGGGGTGGGGTCCTTTGCGGTGGCCTTAAGTACAGTTGAAGGCAGGTGCCTAGCTAGATTTGTAATTGAGTCTGGCTGAAGTGTCGAGGCTTTGGGTAAGGGTTGAAGCCTTTGTGGGACCTCTCAGGAGGGAAGAGCGTTGGCACGTGTGTACCTTCATAGGCTGGCATGGTATCTAACACACAATTATGTTTTTATGTAAATGAAGCAGTGGATTGAGTGAATCTTTGAAGAAAGAATGACAGACTTTAGATCAAGGAAATCAAGAATCTTGTCTGAGCATTTCAAGGATTGCCAGTTAAATGCTTCTCGCAAGTGCATTTAGAATGTTAAATGGAAAGCTGGTTTTATTCTTAAACTTGGCTCATAGGCAGAAATAGCTTACCGAGTCTTCAAATTTGACTATAAGATCTGAGTTTTGATTAATATCTATAACATATAGTTAATATGTCTCCCTACACACAGCATGTTTGAGAAATCAAGTACTGTGAGTATAAGGACATTAAAGACACCCAAGGACTTCGTATGCCTTTAAAATTTACAAAAAATATGTGTACTTATTTTTGAATATACATGCTATATTAAGGAATATTATCACCTCTGGGAGTTCACTTAGGATGCTAAGGGTAGTGGAGGAGCAGTGATGAACCAGGCTGTCTCAGTAATCATAGAAGCAGTTAGATAGATAGACGATGGTTTCACTGGTCATCTCTAGTTTTTCAGTATCTAAGCTTTCCTAGTGAGTGTTAATAAATCAGAGATTCGTAGCTCCACAATGTTCTGTAGTAGAATCATTGAATTTTTTGTCGTAATTTCCTTACTACCACACTTACAGAATGTTTACATTGTGTTAGATAATTTTTGGTAATTAATTTTAAAATTTATGTCTGTGTGCACCTGTGCGCGTTTACGTGTGTGGAAGTGCTCTCGGAGGCCCGAGATCTAGAATGGCAGGATTTTGTGAGCTGCCTGATGGAGGTCTAAACTGGATCCTCTGTAAGAGCAATGTGTTTCTTAACTACTGAGTCATTGCTCCGGCTCCTACACTGTATCAGATATTTTAAATAATAATAATACATAGTATGATCACTCAGGAAGAAATGGAAAGCAGGAATAGGATGTGGGTTTTGTGTAAAGTAGCTGCGCTTGGCCTTGGGCAGGGCATTGAACACTGGATCTGAGTCCCCTGTCTGTAAATGCGGGGCTGTGGAGAAATCCCAGGGTGAAGTGGACCAGTGTCTGAGGACAACACCTGGCCTGCCCTAAGGGCTCAGGTCTGGTATACTCTATTGTGTAAGCAGAGGACAGAGTAGAAATTAGAGGAAGGGTAGAAATCCGCCTCAGGGATTTCTCTATGACCCTCCTTCCTTGTATGAACTATAATCGCTGAGGGTTACATAATACTCAGTGTATTGTTTTAGAAGCAGGGCTCATGAGAACTGGGACAGTTGACTGCCCTCTGAAAGTAAATAAGAACGAAACTGCTAAATCCATAGGATACTTCTTGATGCCTGTTTGCCTGACCTCTTCATTAAATATTTTTACTATAAATTCGTGTGTGTGTGTGCGCCCGCATGCATACGTGGCACATGTGTGGAGGTCAGAGGACAGCTTGCTGGAGTTGGTTCTCGCCTTCCACCATGCGACCCTGGGGATCAAACTCAGATCATCAGGCTCCGTGACAAACTCCCCCACCTATTAAGTTATCTAATCAGCCTGACATGGCCTCCTTTAGTAAGTCCGTATCTAGAGATTAATAATTACTCCTTAGGATAAGCTCTGATGGTTTCAGGAAAATATAAAAATTATACACACGCACGTATGCACACACAATTGTGTAACGGTCTAGAAAAGGCTCATGATGTAAGCATGTAGGATGGTACCTGTTTTGGCTGAGTGTGGTGGTGCACACTTGCTATCCCAGGACTTGGGAAGGAGATGTGGCTGTGGGGGTGGGGATATTGGGAGTTCAAGGCTAACCTGACTATATGAGACTTAAAAAAAAAAAAAAGAAAAGTAAGAAAGAAAGAAAAAAGAACAAGTGAACAACCCCTCCAACAAGTCATATCTATGCTGTGATTCCCCATTCACATATGACACATGTGCACATGGGATCGGGAAGTCTGTGGAGAAGGAAAGGAAAACAATGTTTCTGATTTTTAGATAGCTTAATTTCCTTTTAGAAATGTTTTTTATTGTTAAATATTGTGTCTGTATGCCTATCCATCATTGTGTGTAGGACTTTTGAAATATTCTTAAATTCTTTCTAAAACTCATAAAGAAATTAAAAAAAAAAAACAAACCAAAAAACAGAAAGCCAGACTATGGTGGTGCACGCCTTCTAAGTAATCACCACTTAGAAGGTAGAGGCAGGAGAATCAGGATCCTGAGCTACAGAGTGAGCCTGAGGCCATCCTAGGTTGTGTGAGACCATCCATCTCTCCAAACAAAACCCAAAGGAAACAGACCCCAGAGAGCTCTGGAAACCTGAAGATGATGGTCATTTAAATAGAAAAGGAAATCAAAACTAGGACTTCTTTTTTGAAGCGTTCTACAAAACACTGTGCTTGGATGTCTCTTTCAGATTTTGCTGAACCTTCTTGAAATCTCTCTGTTTCCAGGTTCAGTTTCAGAAGCTTCAGCAGCTGCGCCTGACCCAGTACCACGGGGGATCCCTGCCTAACGTGAGCCAGCTGCGGAACAGCACCCCCGAGTTCCAGGTACCCCACTCGCCTGCTTTTGTGAAGGGTGTGTACAGAGACAGAGATAAGCCCCAGGAAGATTAGCTCTTTGGAGAAGAGCCTGGGCCCAAGTGCAGCTCAGCCTTCTGGGAAAGTGCGTTCTTTCATGGTGACTGCCGGTGGAGGTGGTGTGACTTCACAGCAGTCAGAGGCCGAGCATCCGCTTGAAATGTGTGAAGAGAACTGGTTTAGCATGTACCGGGCCCTGGGTCCCATCCTCAGCGTCACCAGAAAACAAAACACAGAACACCCCAAACTAACTTGAACCACAAGTTTAAGTTAGCGTTTTCTAGTACCCACACTAAAGGAAAATAACCTGGTGAAATTAAGTTTAATATAATTTAAACAATAGGGATTTATTTTAAAACTTACTGTTATTGTATGGATGTATGATGTGTGTTTGTGTGTAGACATGGCCTGTGCCACAGCATGTGTCTGGAGGTCAGAGGAAAACTTTGTTATTTTTTTGAGACAGGGTCTCTCTGTATAGTTATGGTTGTTCTGGAACTCACTTTGTACACCAGGCTGGCCTTGAACTTAGAGATCCACCGGCTTCTGCTTCCTGAACACTGGGATTAAAGGTGTGCGCCACCATGCCCAGCTTCAGAGGACAGCTTTCAAGGGTCAGCTGTCTCTTACCATGCTCTGAATAGAACTCAGTCATCAAGTGCTCTTGCTGGCCATCGCTAGGGTTTCTGAGATACGATCTGTACAGCTCTGGCTGCTCTGAACTTGCTGTGTAGACCAAGGCGGCTTCAGATTGTCCATTCCTCCTGCCTGTGCCTCCTGAGTGCTGAGAATACAGGTATCTCACAACATCTGGCTTGTTGTTCTGTTTTCTTCCTTTCTCTTTTCTTTCTTCCTTTTCTTCTTTTCTTCCTTTCTTCCTCCTTCCCTCTCTGCTTCCCTCCTTTCCTCTCTCCTTCCTTCCTTCCTTCTTTCCTTCCTTCCTTCCTTCCTTCCTTCTTTCCCTCCTTCCCTCCTTCCCTCCTTCCTTCCACTTTCTGTTTTTGTTCTTTTGAGATAGGGTCTTACTGGTCTTGAGCAGCTAAGCTATGTACCTGAGGATAACTTTGAACTTCTCATACTCCTGCCTCTGTTTCCAAAGTGCTGGGATTGTTGGGTTATTGGGAATGGGACCTAGGACTTGTTAAAATACTGTGCTAGGCAAACTCCACCAGCTGAGCTACATCTTCAGCCGTGGTCTTAAGTTCTTGTTTTTCTTACTGTAGCTCTCTAAGACCTGGGATCATAGGCATGTGCCAGCATGTCCAGCCTTATTTAAATAATTTGAATACTTATTTAACCCAAGAAATACCACAATACCATCACAACATATAATCTACATAGAAAACATAAGAGAGTCCCCATATTGTTTTGTGCTGTTGTGTTTTTTACACTTAAAGCTTGTCTCAGTCTCAACTACGCCTGTCACCAGATTCATGTGACTAATGACGGCCTCGCTGGGCTGGTGGGCCAGACTGCGCTGAGATTAGTGCTGAGTTAGGCACCATAGTCATTTACCAGAAGAGCCTTACTTAAAACAATGTGGAATTAGTGTTCCAGACAATAGTGTCGGGTGCTGTAGTTAAGATCTGAGTTAGACCTATTTTGATGTCCTACCCACAGAGAAGTTAGAAGCCTGACATTTTTAATTAAACAAGTTAGGATTTGATGTTAGAGGTGATACATAAACTTTGTGATAATAACTCCATGCCTTCGGATGCCCTTCTATCTTATTTTTGTGATGTGTGTTTGTGGTATGTATAATGTTAGTGGTATCTGTGTTTGTGTGCATATGTGGTATGCATGTAATCTGTGTGGTGTGTGTGTGTGGTTTATGTGTGTGAGCTCAGTAATGTTGGGGTTATGGCACCCAAAGCTGTTGTTAGCTTTTTACACAAATGTTGGGGGTTCGAGCTCAGGTTCTCATGCTTGCAGAGAATGTGTTCTCACCCAGCTGTCTTCTGAGCCCCACCTCCCTTCCCTGTTAAAGCTGACTCTTCTTTGTTGAGAAACTAAGTTCGTTGTTTTTATGATACCCTAAGTATTGTGGAGCATTTTGGATTTCTGGCTTTTAAAACTCTGTGTGTGTGTTGTGTATGTTTGTATGGGCACAAGCCTGTCATGGCATACATGTGACGGTCAAAGGGCAACCTCAGTTGTTAGTCCTCACCCTCTGTCTTTTTGAGATAGGGTCTTTTTGCTGCTGTGTACACCAGGCTAGCTGTCTTGCAAGATTTTGGAGATTCTTCTGTTTTTCCTACTTCTCTCTAGGAGTACTGGGCTCACAGATGTGTGCTGTCATGTACAGCCATTTGTGACTTCTGAGGGCCTGAGCTCAAGTCGTCTGATTGCATGGCAAATGCTTTATCCCCTGAGCCATTCCCTAGCCCAGATTCTGGATTTTTAAGTTAAGAATGCTCAACCAGTTACATTTTTGCTAATATTTGAGAAAACTGGGATCTCTGGTATTTCTGTATTTAAGCATACAGATTAAGAACATTTTTTAGCATCTGCTGCTCTTGCAGAGGACCCAAGTTCAGTTCTCGGCACCCTGTCAGGAAGTTTAGTGCCAGAGGATCTGATTCCTCTTCTGGTCTCTGTGAGCACCTGCAAACACATGGTGCACATTCATACACTCAGGCACATGTATGTAGGCATAAAAATAAATACATCTTTCTAAAAGTTACTGTTTGAGATTTGGGGAGACACTACAGCAGATAAAGCGTTTGCTGTAAGTATGAACACTAGAGGTGGCATCTCTAGAACCTGCAGAAAAGCTGGGCACGTGTGGCAGCCACCAGAAATGACGGCACTGAGGAAGCAGAGGCGGCTAGCCACACTGGCTGTGCTTGGTGTCCTCGCACCTCAGCAGAGACCCAGCCTCAGTGGAGTACAACTGAGGCAGACACCAGGGTCAGCTCCAGGCCTTCACCTACGCCTGCACCCCCACCCACAACCGCGTGTGTCTACACACACGTATAAAATGTGTTTCTATTTGCTTTTTGGCATATAGCCCAGACTGGCGTCCAGCTCTCTGTCCTCTTGTCTCTATCCTCCTGCCTTGGCCTCTAAGTGTTGGACTTAGAGGTCTGGTCTCCATGCACTAATTTGGGATGCAGCTTAGTTGGTCGAGCACCTGACTGCATACACAAGGCCCTGGCCTGGGTTTCCAGAACAACATGAGCAGGAGGATTACAAGTTCAAAGTCATCCTTGACTATAGAGTAAGTTTGAGGCCAGCTGGGATTAGTGAGACCCTGCCTTGAGAGAACCCTAAAAAACATTTTTGACTTTTGTGACCTGACCTTGTTGATGGTCACAGGCAATTATTTTGTAGTGCAGCTGTCTTTTAACACTTCTGGGGCTTGGGATTGAACCCAGGGCTTCTCAGATGGTGAATCTGTAGGAATCGCTCAGAAGTGACGGTTGGATCCCATCAGGCATGTGATTCCAGTTTGTCCTGTGACTGTGGCTGTGCCCTTACCAGCTCAGTTGGTCTTTCAGGGTTCCTGCTCTGAAGCTGCTCTTTCTCCTTTGTAATGAACCCTGACTGTTCTTACCCAGCTACCTTAAGTCTTTACTAAACTGCATCAAACTTTGCCTTATAAACACACATGCATAAAACAAATACATATAAATATATTTATTGACATATATTTATAGTATATCTGTGTGTGATTTAAAAAATTCCCATTTTGCTGAGTGGGTTATGATCTGTAACTGTTACTTTTATTTTGATGACTGTATGATCACTCATTAGGTTAGTAGGAACCTTCTTCCAAATAGCAAATTCTATAACAAATTGATGTAAAAACAGGTCTTGGGGCATAGGTTTTCTTCTGATACTTTTTTTGAGATGTAACTGAGTCTTTAGAAAGATAGCTCTATGTCATGGAACCACCATAACAACCACTGAGGTGTTGGATGGTTTCCTCACACAGAGTGGCTGTGTCCCTTGGTGGTTACTTTCCGTGGTCCCCACAGAGTAGCCTGTGAATGGAATCCAAAGGATGTGGTCTTCTGGCTCTGGGTTGCCTTTAACCGGTCACACTGGAGCCCCATCCGTGTTGTAGCATGTAGTGAGCCAGACGGGATCGCCATTACAAGATGGCGCCGACATCCTGTCTTGTTGGTTATAAACAACTCCATATTTGGCTATGGCTTTGAGAGCTGCGCGTCCCTGCTTCCCGCATGCGTGGTGGATGAGGATCCTTGAGCCTATCCCGATGCGGTCTGGTGTCAGCTGTTGGTGGCAGCCAATCACAGGGCGACCCGTGTGCCAATTCCCTATTTAAGCGGCTGCCTAAGTGCACCCTGGTCCCTTCGCTTCCTGCTGCCTCTCCCCTTCGCTCCCTGTCCCTTGTCTTCCGCCCTCTTGTTCCCTGCTCCCCATCAATCAAGGGCACTCCAGTAAAAGCGTGATCTGAGTGGAATCCTGATGTGGTGGTCGTTCTTCCTCGCCGGTCGAGAAGTCCGCCACAGTAGCACGCGCTCGTGTTCCTGTATGCTGGGACAAAGTGCCACCCCCCTGTGGCTTACACCAGCAGGAAGTCACTTTCTCACAGGTCTTAGTCGGGAGTGTGAAATCACGGATCATCAGGGCCGCGCTCCCACTGAATGTTCCCTGGCTCTTTGTGTAGTGCTGTAACTGCCCTCTGTGGCTTTGTTGTCATGTGACCTTCCCATGTATGTGTGACTTAACCCCTTCTCCCCACTCTTGTAACGACACCAGGCTTGGATGTCGGGCCGTGTTACTCTAGTGTGACCACCACCTGAACTGATGAATGATGTGCGAAGATCCTGCTTTTTTTTCTTTCATTTTCCCCCTTCCTCTTTTTCTTTCTCCCTTCTTTTGAGACGATGTTCTTATCCTACTACCCAGGTTGGCCTAGAAAAACACTGTTAGAGTGGCCTCTAACTTGGAGCAGTCCTCCTGCCTCAGCCTCCTGAATGCTGAAATTACAGGTCCACGGC